ATTTTTTAGGGTGAATTCTTCTCCAACCATACAATTACGAGCCGCAAGATCTCTGTGAACAAATTTTTTGGCGTTCAGATAGGCCATGCCATCGGCGATCTCTGCAGCCATCTGGATCATCTCCCTCAGCGTTGGTGGCGGACGACCAGGGTTATTCTACCAGAAGTAAAGAAGTATTAAAACCCAGATCAAGCTCGCACAGCAGACTCCCTCTCTCCTGTCTTTACCTCAGCATCAGGCCTCAAAGAGCGAAGGTAACTTTTCAAATCTCCGTGTGCCATTAACTCCATGACCACCAGAGTCGGTTGCCCTTTCGAGACCACCCCGAGGAGGCGAACCTGGAAATAAATGAGAAATTCCCTCAAGGTTGTGCCCAAACACCCTGGGCAGAGCTCGGCTGTTAAAAGAGGAGGTGAGAGCAAAGCCAACACCTCCCGAAAATGAGCCGAGAGCAGCACCACGAAGCCTTGTCCCACTGAGAAGTTCTAGGGGAGCAAAAGCGAAGTGAGGCCGGCAGGGGCACCCTGCGAAACGTGACAGGGAGAGATCCCGGCTCTTTCTGATCAGCTGCCTCAGCAGACGGGCTGCTTCTGTGAGCTGAACATCAGGCTTCGGAAGCATTAAGGGACATCGGGCACACGATGGGGCGTGCTCATCACCCGCGGCACCCGGCGGTGCTTACCACATGATGGCAGCTGAACCCTTTCATCACAGAAGCTTCATTTAGGAACTCGATGCGCTCGCGGAGGCTGGCCGACTCGTTAACGGTTTTCACCGCGACGCGAGTCTCCGGCTCTCCCTTCACGATGTCCTTGGCGATGCCCTCGTACACCATGCCGAAGGAGCCCTGTCCCAGCTCCCGGAGGAGAGTGATCTTGTCTCGCGGAACCTCCCACTCGTCGGGGACGTACACTGTGGAGCAGAGGGAGACGGTTCTGAACTGAGCATTGATCTGTCGGAAGGCAGCTCTGCAGCAGCCTTCTGTAGTGCTGCCACAGGAGACTACGGGTAGAAATATGAAAAAAAAGACAACTCCAAAAAGACAACGCCAATCCTACACTGCTGCGCTGTCCGAATGACTACACGAGGAATAAACTGCAGAAGAAAGCTCTGACTGCTCACCATCACTGGCGCTGACATACTCAGGGTTAGAGGATGCGTAGAGCGGCCCGGTTGGTCCTTCGGTTTGTCTGGAAGAGAAACACAAATTCTTCAGCATAACCTGCAGCCTTCGACACAAGCGAAGGCAGTTTGATTGACTCCCAAAGCAGGCAGCAAATAGAAACTGTCCCAATTTCCAACGGTACGAAATACTAGTGTTACAACCATTCTCTAAATTAGAAAATAAACACAACAAACAAACAAAACCTTTGGATCTAAGTTCTGCTTGTTCTGTTAAACCAACATAAAATTGCACTCACCTCTTTTTCACCAGCACATAAGCAGCTCCAATGATTCCAGCAATTATTATGGCAAAAATAATCGGAACAATTATAACAGCAATATTAGGCTGAGCATTCACTACGAGAGAAAGAGAGAACAGGAGGTATTACACAGGTCCAAAATCCAAGTCTTTTTCTCAATAAAAACTCCCCCTTGAATAAACTGAACCAAAGATGAAACTAGAGGCTGTGTGAGATACAGAACACGGGGCTGGTCAGGATGGAACTCACGAAGAAGCGCCACACATTCCTAAGTCAGTTCAGTTTCTTGGAAGCAGACAGACTTGTAACTACTTTATGACCCCCTACGGTTCTCTGCGCACTGCTTGCAAAGCCCCCTTCCAAAACCAACCTGGTTTTCCATCAAGAATTAAACGTTGAAAACCAAACCAACTCACAATAATCAGCCACGTAGAAATAGGTCGGTTCAGTCCACGAGCCGTTTCCAGCCAGCGACGTCGCGCGGATACGGACGCTGTAGTTTCCCGGCTGCAATCCCCGGAGTTTGCAGCCCTGCTCGCTGGCAAAATGCTTCCGGGAAACGCAGTAGTGGGCTTCCTGCGGCGGAAGAGGAAGGCTGCGTGACGCTACCTCTGCAACAGGGCAACAGGACTCCCACCTCACCTCCCAACCTGGCCAACACACACAAACAGGGCTCTCACACACTCAGGTCTTTTCCAACCCAGTGGTTTGTCCCGGATTTGTGTTTTACAGTTTAGTAGTTCAGGTTACCGAGAGCTGAGGTGAGACCTCAGCCCTGAAACCTGAGCGGGGCTGGCAAGGCCTCCCAGCCCCCGGCGCTGGCAGCAGCGCTGCCCACCAGCTCTTTGCCTGCTCAACGCCGCCGTCGTTTCTCTATGCAACCTCAATTTCAATGTACAGCCTCTGTCTTTCTGCAAAAACAAAATCCCTAAGAATAACCCCACGCAGAAAGTTGGCAAAGCAGATCAGCCTGTGTGGCAAAGAGGCACCACGGAGGTGGGGTTTTATTTCTTGACGTCGCCCCCAGACAAGACTTACAGAGGATACAAAGTCACTGGTGAAGTTTTACGTGACCCTGCTCCATACACAAGGAAACCAGACAGGACTGAACACCCTGGAGGTGAGGACTTCAGAAGATGAAACAGTTCTGGACGGCCGGGCAGAGCTACTTCTGCAAATGTGCTGGGCTACGGGATGAGTGGAAATTCTCACCTCTGTCTCCCCAAGACGTCCGTAATTCACTTCATACAGCACAATAAGTCCATTTGGCTCCTTCGGTTCTTGCCACTTCAAATGCACGGTATTTTTTTCAACCAGCTCATGGGTAACCGGGCCGACGATGTCATCCGCCTTAGCTAGAACCAAATTCATGATTAATAATAGTTTCATTTCACGTATTTGGCAAAATTTGTTACTTCATCCATCATCCCTCCCTCTGAGGAACCAAAGAGAGCACCGGCCCTACAGGCTGTGGCTGCGTGGAGCTGGCTCCCTGGGAAATGCAGCTTTTGGAGAAGAGTCAGTAGCGCAGAGCCCAGCTCAGGAGGACAATTACCTTCTGGCATGGTCCTGGCGCTGACATAAGCTGCAACGCTGCA